ATTTTATTGTGTGTCTTTATTTTACATTTACTATTTAATACAAAAGAGGACATATACAGGAAAGTAGTTCATGTGTGCTTGATGAATAAGCGGATGTTAAATATTTTTGCTGATTTTCTTTTAATTTATAAATATTTATTTATTAATTTTATTTATAAATTTTTTAGGTTTATAAATTTTGCCTATCACCTGAACTTCCTAGGCCTCAGTTTCCTCAAGTGAAAATTGGAATGAGAATAATTGCCTTACAGGACTCTGTAAGATTCAAATGGGAAAATGTTGTTAACTTCAATACTAGAGCAAAGAGATGCAATGTTTTGCACAAAATGTGGTAGTAAAATTTCATGAAGATACTCTGGTGTCAAGTTTTTATAAAATTATACAGCTAGTACATGGCCTGGAAATATTTGCAACAATGCCTTAAATCTGAAATTAATGCATATAAAACCTAAAATTTTATCTTCATTATTCAAAATATTTTGCCAAGAAAAAAATTTGCTGGCATGTCTGTACACATTCAAATACATACAGGGATCTCTTATGAATCTACTGGAGTAGAATCTATTACCATCCAAGTTTAGAACATGATAGGTAGTATTGTGCCATAGCTTAGCACAGGATAGGGCAAAGAAAATCAAGATGTGGTCAGCAGTAGATTGTATTTAAAGTGGGGCACACAATCTGTTCTTTCTGTCTCTTCAGATTTGTCTGCTTTGGTCAAGTGCACTGCTCAAACTTCCTTCTAGGGGGCAGCAGCGCCTTGGAATTTTGCCAATCTTTTCTTCTTTTCTATTTAAACCTATGTCAGTGACTCTTAGGTCTTCTCCAAAGAAGCCAAATCAAAGGAAATAAATGTGTTAATTATGTTATCAAATGAGCTCATTGATGTTAGAAACTAGTAATATTCTACTCAATGTCATTAGAAGGAAGAGTTGTGGAAAGGCATTTATAAAGAAAATATAAAATGGAACAGTTAAAGGGAAACTCATATATTACAAAAGACTGGTTGCACATGGAAGAGAAGCCCTTATTTCACCATCACATTTGATATATACTTTATTGCTATTAAAATCAAGGTTACTAAGGAAAAGTGTATATTTATTTGCAGAATAAAATTTTGAGACCTGGAGTTTTAAGTGAGTGAGAATTAAAATCTGATGAATAAAAAACTTTCAAACAAGTATAAAAATTTTAAATCTGACTTGGATTTTCTTATAAATTGCCTGATTTGTCAGGAACATTTATTGAGTTACTGATTTTTATTTCGAATAAGAATTATGCCTTTACAAAATCACTCAAAATTCAGAGCAGAAATCAGTTCAAAACTTTTGAGTCCTCCACAACTCTTCTACCAGTTGAGACACTAGAGCATAGTAAATCTTGATATCAGATTACATACATGAAATTTTATTTCTTATCTCACTTGATCACATTCAGTTACAGCTTTAATATGGGTTGCTGAATGCTTGGGAGTTTTCTTTCTTTATAGTTTTATATTTTGGTCTCTTTTATCATATTTGCTATACCTTGGTCCCAAACTCTAGGATAACTGATTGGGTACTTTTAGTATGAGGACTCATAGATCACTGTGGTCATCCACAGGAGAGTGAAGGTAACCCCATCAGTTGCTTCAAAAATTAACTCAATATTATTCTTTTGATCACTCCATCGTTATCTGCATAGGATGAGGAACACTCCCTATTTTCTTCTTATTTCCAATCCAGTCCTCTTTACCTGGTAATTTATCCTGAATTTTTACTTAATAATATTTAAAATATGGTGGGCATGAGGAGAAGAAGAAAAAATATTTTTTTTCCCTAAGGCTCTTCAATATTCTGGAGTAACCTTCTTTATTGTAACTTTAGAGTGGAACCTTGTCTGATTGTCATTATTTTGTAAAATATATGATACTGACATTTTCCCTTTTCTCCAAGAGAGATAAAGTAATAGACCAAATGGGAAAAATTCCTTTCTGAGTTATATATAACTCTTAATTTTTTACACCAAGTTCTTACTCATTACTTTTAATTGCCAAATCTTAGAGCTATGAAAAAATACATTACTACTAATCATATAATAAGAGTGAGATCTGATATTATTTATCTAGAACATATTCACTCTTTAGCAGCTTTTTTAACATTTGGTGAAAAGTGCAATTCTTACTGGAGAAATGTAAATATCTTTCAAATATGCTTGCTGTTCTTTTTTCCAACATATCCTTGCCTGTTATTAAAAAGTATTTTATTGCTACTAATGCAGGGGGAGTGACACTTTTAAGATAAATTCAGAAATGCCCCTGTAGGATCAAGCATCAGACATGAAATGTGAAATGCTGTCACACTGGCATGAATGACTGCTACTATAATCACTGGCTCTACTTTTATTAGGTTTTTTATTAATTAAATATAAAGTCTGTCATTGGCCTTGTAAAAGTACTCATCTGCTTTCCTTTAATTTCAAGCAGATTAAAAGTAAGACTTAGCATTAATTAAAAACGTAGAATTTATGGAGAATTGTAATTGCAAACAACATTTCAGTGGTGAACATGTAGATGACTTCTTAGTTCTGTTTAGTAATAAACTTGGTATTGAACCATGACAAGATGAAAAATGAATTATTTGAAGAAAAGAACACCATCATTTGTCTGTTGCCCATGTGGAGCATGTATCCTGTCCAGCTGGGAGGATACAAGAGGAGAGATCAACAGTTTAGGATATCCTTGGCCAGTTTTGAAATTTTGCACTGATGTCTGGAAATCTCACTTTTACTTTGAAAACGTGGCTGCATTTGGGAAGACAGAAATAAAAATCCACAACCCACTACCATGATTATTCAGTTTAACCAAAATACTTCAACATCAAAATCTGCAAGTTCGATTTCAGTCTCCTATCTTTAAGTTGAATTTGGGATATATAGAGCAAAACCTTCCAAGAGGTTCCTGGAAGTTTCACATTTTATTATTTGGAGCCTGTTGCCTAAAAAGGCCATCTTCTTAGGGAACCTGTAGTACAGATATTTTCAAATTAGCATCTTTGCATGTTCTCCTCTGTCATAAGTCGGCTTTAGCCTTGTCACACTGGGCTTTTAAGGGGAGCTCTATCTTTGCAGCCCAGGCTACATGTGACAAGATTAAATTGGCACACTTTACTCTATAGCTCTTGTGTTCCTGGCAGCACTAGCCTGGCTGATGCCTCTGAGAGAAGGCTCAGCTGTCACTCAGTGACCCATTAACACTGCTGGTCCATCCAGCAGTGTCATTTTTCTCATTCTTATGGAGATAATGCTCCCTGGAGATCACCAATACCTGCAGGAATGAAAGAGAACAGCAGAGACAGGCTAACTATCAAAGAGGGAGCAAACAACACAGCAAGACCGCAAATTCCAACAGTTGAATTTTAAATGGAGTAAAAGATGAGGCCCATTGGAAATGGGAAGAGGATCCAGTTTTAAGAGGCATCATAACTTTTTAACAAGCTATTTTCTTCTCCTTGCCTGAATACCGAAAGAAGTGCCCCAAGTAAAAGTTGTGACTAGATATAAGGAAGACAGCTGCTTTAAATGTTTAATCGGGAAATTTGGGTAAGAATTTATAATTTAAAAATAGTCAATGGATATAAAACAGAAAAAACACATTAAGGAGAATTGTTTAATATTCTTACCCAAATAAGATCCCTGATTACAGTTGTCTTATTGGGATATAATATCACCTTGTTAGAAAAAAACACAACAAATAAAATAATACCTTTGCAACCCCGGGCCTAAGAATTCTTCTGTCTTATGATTAAACTGTTAGTGGTTTGAGCAAATTTTTGCTCTCTTGCAATTAATTCAAACTACATTTCATTTCATGGATCACTTTCTGAGAAGTTGCACTTGCTATTGTTACTACAAAAAAAAAAAAAAAAAAAAGGCATTAATGCTTCTCCATTCCCCAGATAAGGCTGGTCCAATTTAGATTGCTATAAAAGGAAAAACAAAGATGAAAACAAAACCCAATCAACCAAACACCCAAAAAACAATGCCATTAAGTGTATGGGAACTTGTTTGAGACATATTTCAGTTGAAGAAAAATCCTGAAACAACAACAAAAAGATAGTAAGAGATAGGTATAGAACTGAAAAGATTTCAGAATTCCTAAAAAGGGTAAGGAAAATGAGTGCATCATATATGCACCAGACTTTTACCAGAGTCTGCATCTCATCTCTGCCTCTATTTTTCCTATTTTCCTATACCATATTATTCCTATTCCAGATTATTATATTATTCCAGATTCCTATGCAAAGATTATTATTGGAATTAGACCCTTATTTTCAGGCTGAGGCTTGTGTACCCTCCCTGCACCCCCAGGTGAGGCAGGTGTTAAAAGCCTTAGGGTATATGTGGCATATTGTTTATTGTTTAGGAGCACTAGCTTTTTTTTTTTTTCAAAGGATTTTTTTTTAGGTTGTTTTGAAAAGAGCTGATCATTTGAACCATTAACAATTTAGACCCTTTAATTAAAATATGTATGGCATATTATGGAGTAGGATAAAATATTCACACGTATTTTAAACATCAAAAACAAGGCTTTTCAAAAGTCTTCCTAAGATGATGGATTTTTGATCCAGTCTCTTGTGTGCTTTAGGGACTGAATTTGTCCTTCTTGAGTAGTCCATCCATGAAGAGAAACTTTGAGGAGCAATGCTGGATGCTGTGGAGTTGAGCAGAGAAGAGGTACTGAGATGATCCCAGTTTAACAATGATGGTGGTAATAATTAGCATCTGCGCCCCTGAGGCCAAGTCTTCAAGCAGAAGAAGTGACCTTCTGCCTGTATTTTACAGTTGCAAGGGACTTCACTGTGCAGTCAAGCAGGCAGCCCAGCGCCCAGCAGGCCTCGGTCCCGCTGCATTGTCGCCGCAATGGTGGCGCCCTGGGCCCAAAAGGAGACCCAATCCAGCCCGCCCGCCGGGCTGGTCGCTAGCGGCAGCAGCAGCGCAGCTCCTTTGCTACCAGGAGGAAGATGCTGGCCTCCGGGGTGTCCCACCTGCTGTCAGGTTCACCCAGAAACTGGCTTGCAGAGGGCTGCTGGCGTCCTGTAACTTTTCAAAAGAAGCTAAGTTTGAAATGAAGAGCTGCGATCTTTAGGGGTTGGAAGAGGGTCCTCCTGTCCCAACAGTACTCACCAGGGAGGATGGGACCAAATACTACAGGACAATGCAGGTGGTTCCCCGCTTGCTATGTGGGGCTTCAGGCAGGAATAAAGCCCTCGGATCATGTCATCACATCCTATCATGGCATAGGCTACACCGGGGACTTAGCATTGGATCCATTCTGGCAGAGCTGACTGCTCCGAGAGGAGGTTGTGCTAACGAAAAGTGAGGCTGGATGCACTTGTATGCCAGTAAATTCTACGGGGCAAAGGCATTGTGGGGGCGCAGGTGCCCCTAGGAGCTGGTGTCACCCTGGCCTGTAACTATGTGGGAAACGATGAGATCTGTTTGACTTTATATGGGGATGGTGCTGCTAATCAGGGCCAGGTAGCCGAAGCACACAATATGGCAGCCTTGTGGAAATTACCCTGTGTTTTCATCTGTGAGAATAATCTCTATCGAATGGGGACATCTGTTGAGAGAGCATCAGTCAACACGGAATATTACAAGAGAGGCAATTTATGCCTGGGCTGTGGGTAGATGGGATGGATATTCGAAGTGTGTTTGGGAGGCGACAAAGTTTGTTGCTGACTATTGTAGATCTGGAAAGGGGCCTATACTGATGGAGTTGCAGACCTACCGTTATCATGGCCATAGTACAAGTGATCCAGGACTCAGTTATCGCACATGGGAAGAAGTTCAGAAGGTAAGAAGTCAGTAGGATCCTATCTTGCTTCTCCAAGAGACACTGGTAAAAGACAAGCTCACCAGGATGGACGAGTTGATGGAAATCGAAGCTAACGTGAAGAAACAAGTTGAGGAGCCAGCCCAGTTTGCTATAACTGATCCGGAATCACCTTTGGGTGAATTAGGCTTCCACCTTTACAACAGTAACCCACTTTTTGAAATTTGTGGTCCGAATCAATGGATCAAGTTGAAGTCCATCAGTTAAAAGTAAATTTGTTAATCCTCCAATGGGGCATGCGTGATTAACTTTAAGCACCTGTGTCCTCAACTTTATTAAAAGAGGAATAACAAACTATAAAACAAAGTTTTTAAAATTTTTATTGAAAGATTAACAGAGAGACTAAAAAATAGTCAATGAAAAGGAAAGTTCAATTTGTATATTATTGCATTAAAAGATACTATATGGTAATTCTTTTAGTGTATGAATATCTTTTTTATTTTAAATGTATACAGGCCTAAAACAGGAAAAATAGAAAATTGACCTCCCAAATTATTGTTGTAACAGTTTTATTTGATTTAGCTTTGCATTATTTTAATAAAAATGCTTATTTAAAGGAAAAACTGTTCTTTGATGCCTGCTCCCCCTACCATGACTTTGTGTGTAAAGTCACTATGCTGAGTTAGGGCTGATCATATTGAGCCACTCATGACTTCTGCTCTGCCACTTGCAACAGTTTACTTGAATTAACCAACAACAAACACTATTTATTAACATAGCAAGCATGCACATGTAATAACAACGGTTATATTTTTCCAGTGAAACATGATATTTAATGGGGTGGGGGGAGTGAGAACAAGCACATTTTTCCAATACTATTTTATTCTGTTACAACATTATTAGTGTACTAATTTAAATGAAAAACAAAACCAAAAAACAACTAGAGGAAATTTCATTTTTCTTTAATCTTCATGTTAAAGTTGCCCTTATTTTATAGTCCTTTCACACCATTATGTGTTCTGGATTTAAAAAAGGCATCCTGGGCCGGGTTTGTAGCTCAGTGGTAGAGCACTTGCCTTGCACACATGAGGCCCTGGGTTCTATCCTCAGCACCACATAAAAATAAACAAATGAAAATGAAGTTATTGCATCCATCTACAACTAAAAACAATGTTTTTTTTAAAAATAAAAGAAGCATCCTGGTGAATCTCAGCCTGAAAAATGAAGATATAAAGATAGTGACATCAAAGAAGTTAAATAGAGGGGATGATGACATTAATACAAAATTAAAAGTAAAACCTTCCTTGCCTTTAACTATACCTCCACATTCCAAATTCAAAAAACAGATAAACATTGTATTTATAAATGAGTGGTACTACTAGCTAAGATGTTTTAGTGAGAATATTGTGGCTATAACTCAGAAACTTCAATTGGATGCCCACCATTAGAAACAAAAGGATTTTCATAAAGTGTTCAAAATAATAAATCCATTCTTCTAATGACATTCTTTTTATTTTGATATGCTGATATTTCCATATGCTTGCAAGTGGAAGATAAGCTGCTCAGTTAAAGCCATTTTACATATACCATATACAGAAATCATTTTAAAAGTTTGTTTACATAATGGATTCTTTTGATGCCAGCAAAATTTAAGATAGAAAAAATTGATAACAAATGGAAACATCAATAAATCAAGATATACAGATATTGGACTTCATTTTACATTTCAAATTACAAATCTTACTACATTAGGGAAATAAAGTATCTTTGTCACAGTTTACATTATCAAATTCCATTAGGACAGGAGTTTTGATTCAATTCAATATCAAAACATCGTTCTGACTTCTATGTGTACCTTCAGTAACTACTGTAATCATGTCATTGGTTGCACACAATTCTGTAACTATCGAATAAACAAACAAACAAACTGAAAAACCACCCAAACCTGTTGTTTTCAATTAGGTCAAGCTTTATTGCTTGACTAATAGTAGCGATCATTTATCAAGCTTTCAACTAGAGAAGTGTAGAAATTCAGCAGGTGGATTCTACTGCCTGACTATAACTACTAGGTTATTCAATCTGTTTTATCCACATATTATAAGATCTAAATAAGCCATGGTAGTCATAAGAATTTCATTGATGCAACAAATCTAGGACAAGTGAGACAAAAAAGAGTTCTTAAGGTCTTAACCTGTGTGATACTATATAAAATTAGACTCTGCACATGTGTGGAATGGAGTGAGAAAGGAAGGAGATTAAGGAAGGTGTTTAAAGGAGACACTCAGATGCATTAGAATTTATTTAAAATAAGTGGATATGTGTTCCCATCTAGTATGCAAAAGACAGCATATTATTAAAATTTAACCTGAGAGTTTGTAAGGAAGAACTTTTTAAAAATCAAAATATGATTCACACACCAAGAATTCACTCTTCTAAAAGTGTATAATTTAGTATATTCACAAGGCTATGTAACCATTACTGCTAATTCCAGAACATTTTCATCACCTCAAGGAGAACATCCATACCCATTTTCAGCTACTCTTATTTCCTTAGAAACTACTAATTTGCTATGTAGATTTGCCTAGCTTGGACATTTCATATATATCCTACAACATGTGGTCCTATGTATGTAGCTACTGTCATAATGTTTTCAAGTTTCATTCATGCTGTAGAATGTACTAGTACTATATTCTTGTTTTATGGCTGAATAACATTCCACCTTGTTTATGCATTTATCTATTGGTAGATATTGTTATTTCCTCCTACATTTTAGCTAGTGTCACTGAGAAAAAGCTCAATCCTTTAAGCACAAACTCATTAGAAATTTTAAAGGCACTGGCCAAGGCATATCTCTTATATAGTACTATCTCTTTCAATTAAATCCATTGGAAAAGTGTTAAAACACTATTGGAGTATTACTCAACCATAAAAAAGATTAAAATTATGACATTTGCTGGTAAATGGATGGAACTGGAGACTGTCTTGCTAAGTGAAATAAAGCAGTCCCCAAAAGACAAAGGTTGAATGTTTTCTCTGATATGAGGAAGCTAATCCTAAAATAAGGGGTGGGGGAGAGAATGGAAAAAATAAAAAGGGAAAGGGTGCTGAGAGCCATTGCCAAGTAGGAATGACGCATGGCAATTTCTTTGTCAGCCTACCCGATGTTGCTTAGAGGGAGGACTCTCCATTGTGGAAATGGGCTTGCCTTGGACCCAGGTCATTTTCACTGACATTGCATGAATGTTTGAGAAAGGTGACCCTGCTCAAGGACCAGGGCGGATCCGGGTTTAGGGAGGATCCTGCTGGATTAGGGTGGGTCCAGGTTTAGGGTGTATCCTGCTGGGAATAGGGCGTATCCTGCTGCCTCAGGCGCCTGCCCGCTCCTTGAGTTCCCGTTGAGTTCTCGCGGGATTCAGAGAGTATTTTGGGATGCAGAGCCGAGTGGAGGTGGATTTTCCCCAGAACATGCATGTAGAGTGCTGGTGACAGTTCGGGAATAAAGAATTGCTGTTTGAATCTACAAGGCCGTGAGTGGCTCGTGATTTTGTGCCCAGCCAGACTGCGGCAGTTGGTGGCCCGTGCAGGGGACGCCTGAAGCTTAGAGGTAAGTGAAATTGCTCGCCCCTGAGGGAAGGCGAGAGAATGGGTGACCATTTCAAAAAACAATGTGTTCTTGTTTTGATTTATTTTGTTTTTGTTTCAAGCTGCCTATCCCCAGAAATTTCTCAGGCAAACTGGAAAAAATGGTTGGCTCAAGGTTTGAAGTTTGTCGGCCCTGAGGAAGAGAAAACTGATATAACGATTTTTTATTCCATTTTTGTTTTATTCTGTTTCGGTTTTGTTTTGTGTTATCTTGTTGGGTTGCGTTATCTTTATAGTAGATTAGAAATTAGTAAAAAACAAACTAAAAGAGTGTTAAGTAAATTGTTAGAGGTTCAGACCATGGAGAAAGACATTTTAGATCAAGCAAAAGAGAAGGTCTCTCGAGCTAGTCAGACAGAGGAAGAAAATTTAAAGGAAAAGGGGCTATTAGGAAAAAGGCTACAACAGGAGGCTGCTACTAACTCCGTTCTATCACCAGAGGGCGTAATTCAACCAACAGCTCCACGTATGGAGATAGCTGAGTGGCCCTCAAACCCGTAGTTGATAAATGGGATCCTGAGACAGGACCTCAAAGATTAGCATGCCCTGTACTTGAGCAGACAGGAGGGCAGCGAATTCACCACGCTTTAGATTTCAAAACAGTGAAGCAGTTAAAGGAGGCCGTAACAACCTATGGTCCCCAAGCACCCTTCACGGTAAGCATGGTCGAATCCATTACCAACTTGGACATGACGCCAGCAGATTGGGCTAGCATGTGTAAATCTGTGCTAAATGGAGGACAATATTTGTCATGGAAGGTTGCCAATGAGGAATTTTGCACAGAGACAGCTAGGTGAAATGCAGCATCCGGTTACCCTCAAAGAAATCTAGATATGTTGTTAGGAAAAGGACCTTATGAGGGTCAACGGCAACAAATTGAATATGATCCTGCTATATATGCACAAATTGCTGCAGACGCAGTTAGGGCATGGAAGACTTTACAAGGACATGGAGATTTACAAGGTCAGCTATCTAAGGTAATACAGAGAGCTAATGAACCTTACGCTGAATTTGTAGATAGGCTTATTCAAACAGCTGCCAGAATTTTGGGGGATACAGAACAAGCAATGACATTAATAAAACAACTGGCTTATGACCAAGCAAATCGTTACTGCAGAGAGGTTATTAGACCATGGAAACATGAAGATTTAAACACATATATTAAATTATGCAGAGACATTAATGAACAAGGGCAAGTCTTGGCAGCTGCAGTACCATAGGCTTTAGATGCCAGGCCAAAAACATGCTACAATGGTGAACAAACAGGACATTTTAAAAGGAATTGCCCCATAGGAAAAGGGTTTAACAAAACTAGGTATCAAAGGAATAGAATACAGGGTATTTGCCCACAATGCTATAGAGGGAGACATTGGGCTAATGAATGCCGTTCTCAAAACACCATAGAGGGTACTCCCTTATCAAAAAATGGACAAGGACCAGGTATTTACCCACGATATTGTGGAGAAAGGCATCAAGCTCCATTGCCAAAAAACGGACTGGGGGGCCCAATGCTCCGGGGCCCACAAACACAAATATACGGGGCAGTGGAGGAAACCAGCAACACCATCAGGGTAGTGCCCAGGACACATTGTCCATTAAATCCCTCATCAGACAAACCAGAGGGA